CTTGACAGATCTGAGCTACGAACACACTCATGACGACAAATTGACAACGACCTAGCCAAGCTCTCAAAATGGTCGTCGCACGATCTCCTTCTCCGCACAATCCTTTATTTGGAACTCCGTTATATCTAACCGTAACTTGGCAATGTATAAATATAAAGATCTTCGCAGTTAGAAGCCCTCTTGGTGACTCGTGACCTGCACGGTTATGACATGGATGTGGTTAAAAGCAGCCTGCAACTTGCGATTGGATTTTTATGCACAAAATGGCAAAATCTTGTGCGGACCTGAATTATCACGCGAGAATGTGTTTGTGAGTTGACAAGAGCTATAACGATCGGAGGTTTTGCTGTTGGGTTTTTAAATGAAACGAACAATGAATAAGAACTTAGTAAAAGCTTTTGGGGAATAGTGTCAAAAAAGACAAATGGACGCTAAGCTGTGGTGGTTGATTAAGAGTTTTCGGTCTAATTGTTTGCATTTACTGACAGCATTTTGCTACTTGGGAAAGTGGATTTCAGTTTTTTAGTAGTTTTCGTAGTGCAGGCGAGTGAGTTGATCACAGAAGCATTTTTAGAATTCGTGATCACACACTTATTGCGCTCGCATTCGTTAGATGACAAAATGAGTAAAATGCGGTAATTCATGGAGCGACAAATGTTCCCATTATCCTTCAACGTAATTTATGGAACATAAATATCCAAAAATCTCAAGAAAGGCTAAAGCGGTTTTGATCGCTTTATGTGCGTTAAATCAAGTCAGGTCAAGTAGCGCGTTTTCGCACCAGATTAAGTTACCATGACTCATGGCTACCGCGAACAACCAATGAGAGCTGAGGATGTGTCATCGGTCCAACCGGCCTCCGTCGTTGAGCCTAAGTGCACCTACATAATCACGCGCACGTTACATCGGAGGACAGATTCGTGACTTGAACGAAGCATTGGCGATGGAACAACGATCTTCGGAAACCCCATCTAGCGTGGAGAGCTTTTCCGACGCGGAAAGCTGGGATCTCCTTGACAGCTCAAGTGGTTAGTGTGCATTCAGGTTGTATTCACTGTCGCATCCAACCTAGCGAGGATTTCATGTCACTATCTTTGCTGATTTTCAGTAATCAAGGGTATATGCTGCATGATTATGACGACACGAAAGTAGATATTATCACACCATTCGCGTTTATTTGTGCAAGATAATTATATTTGCAGTCCTGCTTTAGATATATTGCCATGAATGCTCAAATAGGCTTGAGGCATGGTACTGTGAATTGTTTGAATTTAATTTATATATCATGTAAGCAGCAACTTTATTTGATCTATGAAGTTAGCTAGGATATCTTTTGCATTTTTGAGAAGCAGTTAAATCGGTCAATAAAGGCATCAGATTTTTTCTGGTTTAACAACAAAACAAGAGTTGAAATAACCTTCCAATAATTCGATGGTCATGCCTTTTGGATGCCAAGTAAATGAGCACAGTTATATTGAGAACGCCCTTACTTAATAAAATGAAATATTAAGAATTTGTACCCACTTTCAGAAGGCGATTAAAGTCTATTGGTGTGCACTTAATCGTAAACAATGGTGTATTAACGAAGAGATGCTGATTTTTACTAACCAATTTATCCCACTTTTCAATCTTGGTGGTCTGCAATTTTGATCACCGTGTTGTCCCAAGTCTCCGCAAACTTCAACATCAAATCCGTGAAGTTTAGTTTCTGCTTTCACTCGCACCTAAGCATTTTCTTTACTGACTGTTGTGTTTTGCATATTTGGGGACGTCTTGTTACCATTACGATCGTTATTCATGTATTAATAGTATAGGACACACCAACTGTCCCAATGTGGCAAGCATTGACCTGCAGGCATGGCCAATGTCAGCCGATATTGTTCAATTTTTGACTGCTGCAAATCTAATCCCATTTCGAGGTGTGCACTTCTATACTCTGCGGTTCATATTCAACACTGCTACCAGCCAATACGCAACCACGTAAATCCTTACTATTGCCACACCAATTTCTTAGGACCCAGTGACATTAAAAGACATTCAGCGTTTTCGCTAAATAAATGATTGACACAAATTCGAATCATGTCTTTAACGAGCGATGATATGTATGCACTACTAGTTACGCAAAGCGCCAAGCAGTTGGCACTAATCTCATTAGGTTTAAAGTTTTTTTTTAAGGTTATTGTCTTAAACGCTATCTACTAAGGGTAATCTTGAGCCCATTTCCACCTAGATGAATCGGCTGAAGCTTCGGTAAATCCAAAGCAAACTCCATCGACAAGTTCATCAATCTATCTTAAAGTGACATCTCAGGGGGAAATTCAAGAATGTGATGTGAGTGAGGAGAAACAGCGACCGCAACCAGAGGACAACACTCTACCACTGCCCAAATCTCAGGCGCCAGAATTAACTGGGATGCAGGGACACAATAATAGTTCTAATCAGCCTGATCCTGCTTCATTCTGTAATTTTGAAATGAGCCTAGGTGAGCTTTGGTTTGTCTTTCCCAACGCCCTAATTGTACTGTTGTAAGGCACATCGCATCTGGTTTCATCAAGATTCACGGTAATCCTTATAATTGAAGGAGGTATTTAGACGTCAGTGCTTTCATTCTTGCCAGATTTGTTTGTCATTTGGAAAAACTTATAAATTTCAACATGCTTTAACAGCGAACAGAAATGTATACAGGAAACTGATATAGTTGTATTCCTGCTATGGAAATATTGTTATGACAGATCAAATGTGAATCGTTCAACGTTACTTTATATATCATGTAAGCAGCAATTTTATTTGATCTATGAAGTGAGCTTGAATATCTTTCCAAATTATTGAGAAGCAAGTAAATCCCTTACAGTGAATCGGTTAATAAAGGCATCAGTTTTTTCTTGGAACTACCAAGCACTGGCCGCAATTGTGTTTGTGCAATCTGATTTTCATACTTATGTACAGCAACTTCATGAATACAATTAATGCATAACTTTTTATTGTAGTCCTGAAAAGGCGATTAGGTCAATCTGTGTGCAAAAATCGTAAAAATTGTTTTCTTAATGAAGTGATGCTGATTTTGACTTTACTAACTTATTCAATCCTCGAATCAAGAAGCAGTACAATTTTGACGATTATTTTATCTCAAACATCATCAACAGAGATCATGCTTAGAACCATTTCCCTGCTAGATAAGGTGATTGAAGCTGCGTTGAATCGAATGTCAACTTCATCGACAACTGCGTTGGATAATATAATGGCGACATGGAATGGGAGCGTTAAAGAATTTAATGTGGATATGGAGGAACTGCAACTGCGACCAGAGAACAGCACTATGCCACCACCAATGCATCAGGCGCCACAATTTCCTGGAATGGAGATGCTCAAGGGTAGTTCATATCAGCCTGTTCCTGCTACATAGGGTTATTTTGCTGTGGATGCAGGTTAATTGGGGCCTTTCTTTCCTAATGTCCTGATCAAAACTTTGTTGCCCTCATCGCGTCCGGTTTCACTAAGGTTCTTGTTGATCCTTGCAATTAAATCTGGTAGTCTGGCTGACACGCGCAAACCCACTTCGACCTTGGAAGGTGAACACGCTGTCACAACAAGAGAAAAAGGAAGCAGGAATCTCTTTAAAATGCAGTTGCATATGCTCATTTTGAAATCTAGTTATCAATCCTAATACCCATAACCATCCGTGTTTAGAGGTAGCGCAACGTCACCATAGCAATGTGCGGCCTTGCGCGAAATGTCAGTGAACAGATAACAAACAACTAGACATCCAGCAAAAAATTGGGATGAGTCGTTTATCATGTGATGTCAGAAAACATGCTTTAATCACGCGTGGTCGCTGGTAATCCTGAAATATTCCTCCTTGTGTGTTACCTGTAGACCGTGTAACGTTGCCAGTCATGGATCTGAATCATTAAAGCTGGTTCCAGGGCCAATGTCTTTCTTGACATAATTGCAGGTGTCTAAGAACGTTAACAGCAATGACGGCTGATTTCAGTTAACGGTGATTTTGCGTGAAGTTGGCAGATTGTAAAGGTGGGCTTTTGTTGGCCCTAAATGAAGGTCGGAAAAATGTTGAAAATTCTGCTTGTGAATAAGATGTTAGCATTTTTAATAAGCACATCAAGGGTTCGCTTACTCAATCATGGTAAAATCATGGAATTCGGTAGGCGTTTCTGAAATCAGCATAGCAAAACGTGGTTTCTGTAAGACAGTATACGCATTTAACAACAACTGGTATGACACCACGGTGACCTCGAACAAACAAATGAAGCTAGGTTGCCTCAACCTACCTAGCAAATTCCTAGTTATAAAGTTTAATAAGTATAACGGCTCAATTGTGAAAGCGAAAACTGGTGTGGATATGACGTATCTAAATACTATAAAGCGCATTGTTAGGGCATTTTAAAAAGTAAAGTCGCCTTGCTTAGAAGTCTTGCCTTCTGATTGCGTTTTGTTTATTTTGCCTCAACCAGCAGTAGCTGAGGATATCAACAAGCTTGCTTCCCATCTGTATCAGTTGGATTTAGCAACGGTGATCCCGAATCTAACTTCAACGACAAATCCGCTTGCCTTCGTTTCAATGATTCCTCAGAGGAAGATTCAAGAATTTAAAATGCAGGAAAGGATACAACAACATCGACCAGACTACAGCACTATGCCACCGCCCATGTATCAGGTGCCACAATTCACTGGAATGCATGGACACAATGGTAGTTCTTGTCAGCCTGCTCCTGCTACATCATGTAATTTCGCTATGGGCCCAGGTAAATTTTGGTTTGTTTTTCAAAATGACCTAACGGAACCTTAGTAACGCACATCGCGTCCGGTTTCACCAAGGTTCTATTTTATCATTTTAATTAAAAGAGAAATTCTTGCTCACAAGCCCAAATCCACTACAACATTTGTGTTTTCCTTCTGGCCAAATTATTTTGTGAAAAGGAAGTACCTTGGAAAGTAAACATGCTTACACAACAATTGGAATCTTACCCACGAAAATCTACAAAAGTGGTCTCATGTGCTCATTGAGCAGCGGATACTACAAATCACTACTTACAGATTTGCCGGGTTTCGTTCAAACGCATTGTTACCATCCACTTACAAATTCAGATATTTGCAGTGAAATGCTAGGTAGCTCTCAGTTCACATTTAACATTATATCTCATAGCACACTGAGGTGCTAACAAGTAAGGGTACATTTCAAAATGTGACTAGTACTAGATGATATTATTCTAATGGCCATTTATGGCCTTGGTGTAACATCACGCGTTTATTGTTTGCAGTAATTATCTCAAGAATAGTGACAAATCGAATGTTAGCAGAATTCTATGGGTGGTCTCTAACTCAGTTGATCTTGTGATACAACTTCACAAATCAATACCTTAGAGCTGATTATCATTTCCATCGGAACTGCTGCTGAATTGTGCCCGCAAACTTGTCATAAGGGTCTAGAATTTGTTGCGCGTTGTGGTTGTAGGAAAAATATTGGTCATATTCATTTCAACATGCAGTTTCTTGCTTAGTGTACATTCTGATGTCGCAATTACACAGTGTTGGCTTGCAAACCAGCAGCTAATTATAGTTTTATCCGCATTCGTGTTGTTAGAATGTGGAATTTAGTTGAATGTAAGATGCACTGCACTTCATCCTTAGATGTGTCGATTCATGAAGATGTGGCGGCAAGTAAAGTGATTCAAGGCTCAGGCGTGGCATCAACAGAGTTGATAGAGACCTTGGAATTGCCAGAGAAACCACTCCGTCTTCATAATTATGCACCAAAATCAACCCGAACACAAGAAATAGACATTCCAGAAATGCAGGGAATCCAGTTAAGCTCATGTCGTCCTGCACCTGCACAAACAACTCAACGTGCAGAATATTGCAATTGGCAAGGTAGATCTTAGTGCGCATTCATTATAAGCAAATCCTTTTCTCATGCAGTTATATCCATTTTTACGGCATTGTTTCTACCTCTATACAAGTTTGCTGGTAGAGGACTGTGATTAAATTAGTTATTTCTCAAAAGGGGTTCTACTGTCTCAAACTGTCAACTGTGTGTGAAAGTGCTAATCATGACAAAATTGAAGATAGCACATTATTCTGACGGCCATGTGTGGCCACGGTGCTACATCACGAGTGAGTCTTTTGTGCTTTGAGACCCAAGCTAAAATGTGGTTGGTGTCAGATGATACTCATAGACGTCCTAGGTCTCGTGCCAAACTTTTAGAGGTGATTTCTTGCTTAGGTCAACCAGTCAACTCCATCTCAACTGCCACTGTTTTTGAAGGAAACCAAGTGACTGGGGCTAACTCGCATCACGTCCCAACGTCAACAACTGTGCAACAACTACAAGGTAACTCCTTATTCTGTGCTAGAGCGAGTTGTGTCTTTTTCTCCTTAGGTCAGTCAGTCGACTCCATCTCAAATGCTACTAACTGTAGACGTTGTCTTACCTTGGACGAACAACGTGCAATAATGGAAGAAGTCGAAAATTGTCTAGATAAAACTGTTGGGGATCTTCTCAAACTGGTGAAGCCTGATAATTCGCATATCACAGGTCCGATTATTTTCAGATGTTCCACAACACTCAGAAATTTGCGGCTTTTTTACAAGAATATCTAAAGACATTTAATTACACTCTGTGTTTCGAACTTAAGCCTTTCTGTAAAACATCTTACGTGTCTTTGTTTTAAAGACCTATACTGCTATCCATTATCGCTGGAATTAAATACACATCTTACGAAATGCTTATTTTTTCAATTTGTTGTTTGGAATACTAACTGCAGTGTCGTATTGAAAACTGATGCAAATCGTGACTTAAGAATCGCATGAATGTGCTGTTGCAAAGAACGCAGTTATGTCACATAGCAATTACTTTCCTATTTAACAGTAATCGGACCCTAAACCAATACGACTTAAGATATTTGGGAATTTTAAATAAGCGCATTTGATTAGTTGAAAAGTGGTGTTAGTAAGATATAGGCATTTGTCTGTCTATCTCAATTTAACCATGGCTGTTTGGGGATCATTTGAGCGGCCTGGGTGTGCGTTATATATAAACAAGCAGGTAAGCTCCAAAATTGCGCAATTGGCAGCACAGAGCACTGTTTTTAATTATTAATTGCTATGATGCTTACATCAGCCTTTTTTAGAATGCAGTGTCATCCATGCTGTCAAATTGCAAAGAATGCGTTCTTTTTGAGGATACATGATGCACGCCTTCCCATATCCTGTGCACGATGTTATGATTACCACCGAAGCTGAAGTGTTACCAGGTCGCCACAAGGCGTGACATCTGAGCGTTAGGATTGGAATGAGTAAAGTAAATGTTGAGGCTGTGCATTGTTGCTAAGGCATTTTTTGGCTTGTTCGTAAAAATGTTTGACTATCATTGAACTGAACATAAAGCAAGATGACCATTTTGTCAGGTGTAATTATGGTGGGAACATCCGTATCATGAAATAGAGCCATTAACATATGTCCACTAGTGTATTTAACTGCGTGCAATGTGAGGTTGTTAAGCGTGGAATGAGCATAAGTGCCTCGTGTGCAATTAAGTGGTTCTGTATTTCTAGTTAAATTGCATGCAACACTTTCAAATGACATTTCGCATTTCGCAATGGAATCTGACATAACCAAATAAAAATTACCTTGCATAGTATCTAAAATACACTTTCAATATCAAAATGAATTTGGTAGGAGGCCTTTCATGTCACTGTTTGCATTTTCGGTCCTGCTATGCTGCTATGTTCAATTGAATATTATGATCAGTTTCGGGATGCCTTTGGAAGAACCATTGTAGGAGGCAGCGTTACTTAAAAGGTAAACATTCTTAAACAGACGAGGCCATAGAGAACAACTTTCTCTTTGCGATGCTAATACTATCGTTTTGTAACAGGCAGTAATGTAGTTAGATATTACCCACAACCTTGCAGCAGTTATCCAATAACTAACATTTAACGGCAATTTTAATTGCAAATTTGAACAGACAGACACAGCTACATTAATGAGCACAATTGCGAACTAATGTGCCTCCTTACCAAAATTGGAAACGCCAATTGTGAGGTTGCGCAAAAAGTAGGCTCTCAGGATTCATTCTTTAGCACAATGACAGCGTCCTTTTTACACTGAATTCTAATCAGCCATTTCTCATTGGAATAGGGCCAAAAAAAAATGACTCTTATATGAAAGGAAGGAAGCAGCAAAAGTTTAAAGCATCCACAAAAATTGTACCGACTTATGGCCACGACATGTTTCGAGTTCAATAATAATCGCTGAATTCAGCCAGAATTCAAAATGCCAAAACACAATGTAGCATTGTTGGAGCAGCAGGTCACGAGAATATAGAATAGTATGAATAGCATTTAAACATTCTTGCAACTCATTAATGAGCGTCAATGGAATTGGTAT